TCTGAGGACAGAGTTCAGTTCCTTTAAACAACACTATATTTGAAAACACCCTGAGATGCATGGTACCTAAGTACATCGAAATTATTCTACACTTCCAATCCCACAGATGAAGTTCCCAGTTGAAGACATGTGGTTGTGCCCTGTGAACTTTGGTACGCACTGGATTCTTGTGGTATGTGTTCATGTAGTTATTAATTTCTTTGTGAAGCAGTTTCTTGCTGAAAGTGTTATTCTTAAATAGGTTTTCAGTGGCAAAAACTATAGTAATTTTTAATTTATTAACTTTTTCTTTAGATTGTCAACATTTCTGCACAGAAAATACTGCTCATAGACCCCATGGGGAATGAAGGTGTTTATGACAGGAAAATTCTGTGCAACTGGAGGTATGCATTATTACTGAGGTATTATTCTTAGATAAAACATTTCTTGTTTCATTACAAACATTTTTGTTCAACTAGGAATTTTCTGAGGATGAGAGGGCATGAAGACACCATGGAGTGGCAGTTACAGACTATGCAACACAACAAGCAAAAGGATTCCAGCAGTTGCGGAGTTTTGCTGTTAAAGGTAACCCTTATTCAAATGATTCCATTTATTGTTAGCTACAATTAGGAGTTTACATTATAATAATGAGAAATCTCAGTTTGCAGAACACTACCTTGCTTTTGGAGAGGTCAGTGAAGTATTAACCACTACAGAAGCAGTTGTGCTGGAGCGAATGCAGATAGCTTGCACCCTACTTGAACATCGAGGTAAGTCCAGTAAAGTCCTTATCACGTTAGAGTGTGTACTTCCAATTTAAATAGTGCTTTTCAAACACTTTCAGATAAGACCCTTCTTTAAGTCTAATTAAAAAAATTCAGGGGACTAATTTGCCATGAAGTATTTGTGGAACAAATTTACTATTATTTTTTAATTAATCAATAAATAATGTTTGATTAAAACCTAACCATGAATGTGTTTCAGGGAACGCTGAGGATTACTGCATTGTTTGCTCCATGTTAGATGCTGACGCTGACCGCAGCATGATTGAAATGGTAAAACAAAAGAAACACATAAGTCTTAGTATCATTACTTGTTAATCATGTTTAAAATGTTGACTAATAGTATTCACCAAACATAATATGAGCTATTTATTTTTCCTTTCCAGGTGCAGTGTGAATCTTGCCAAAGATGGGCACATTTTGCATGTGCAAAATATAAAGAGAGCAACCAAGAATATAAATGCAAAAAATGTAAGGAAAACACATAACAACTTCTAATAAAAAGAGCTGTCTTTCCCCCTCCATGTCTCTTTGCATTCTTTGTCAACATTAGATGATTGTGTGCAGGAAGCATGTTTTGATAGTGTGATTTGGCCATCTGAACATGCTACCTAAATAAATCCCAGCAGGAAGCATGTTCTTAATGTCCTAGCGAAATAACTCAAAGTTTTTAAGTGTGATTTGGCCATCTGAACGTCCTACCTATACGACGGAGCCATTAACTACGTAAGGTAGCAAATTCTGATAAGGTAGCACGGATTGATAGACAAGACCATAAATTTACGCTACGGTAGGATGTTTTGACAAGGTTTTGTCAGAACACCGGCATCTGAGCCAGCCAGACTCTGTCTGTCTCTCTCATCATGGTCACCTAAATGCACAGTAATGGCAGGTTTTGGAATAAGGCAGATCACGCTTAATATACACTGTTATATACACTATAATATGCACTGTTAGTTGATTATTTACCTGCCGCATTAACGGGAGAGGACGTGCAAACGTTACCGCTGCTGCTGGGTTGAGAGTCACGAGGCCGGAGCGGAATTAAAAACACGACATTCATTTAAGGTTATCGCGTGTTTTGTGAGCAAATGCTTTTGCATATTCGTAGTGTTTCCTCCCTTAAATGAAATATCTACTTTGCAAGTATTGCAAGTTGCCCTGTTGTGATCCGTTCTCGTAAAGTATAACCAAACTTTTGAGCCTTTGAGCCGCTTAGGCGCCAAGTTTCCTGCCAGGTAAATGACGCTCCGCAACGTGGTGACGTCATTCGGGGCGACTGGAGTCGATAAGGGAATCGATTGCAAAAAAGGCAAACAATTCCAAAGAATTGAAACAGTGGGAACCGGTAGATTGTGAAGTAAAAAACATTGACTTTGATCATATAAATGCACACAAACACATCTCTACGCCTGAAAAAAATTAAGCTAACTGCACAGTGTGGCCTTGAGGCAACAAATGAAAATTAACAGTTTTCCTGTATAAACAAATTTTAAAAAGTAGAACAAACAATCAAATATACTTCTTAACATATTCGTGCACACACAAGTATTGTTTATATTCTTTTTTTCACTATAAAGATGTAAAATAGTTTTTATATATATATATAGTTTCTTTATCTTACCTGCCAATGGAGATTTCTCTCATGTAGTGCAGCTTGCAGTCTTTTTCTAATTGTGTCATGAACTTCAAGATTTTCCCTGATCACTGAGGCCTGTAGAGTCTTGTCCTTTTTTCTGTTTTGTGTTTGTACAGGAGGTCACGACCTTTTATTAATCAGACCAAGATGATCTAAATTCACAAACAGAGTGGGGCGTTGTCTCTGCACATCTGTTCAACCTGTTTTATGGAACAAGTTCACTTCCTGTTGCTTTGTGTATCTACTCTGGTCAAAAGAATCCACGCTTCACGTCCACAATTCCTTTTTATTCCTCTCACAATCACGGCGCACCGTGAAAACTAGAAACAGGTAAGATGCTATCAATATGACATCCATCTTAGCCACTTACTTCTTTTCACAAAGTGCACAAGTATATAACACATAAACATGAGTACCAAATAAAGAAAACAAATAGAAAAACTATAACGATCTCAGACGCTCTTCTACTGTTGTCATGGCAACCCACACACATATTTCAGCGTCGGCTACATTCATCAAGATTTCTTACTCAGACATGTGATGGGCACTGCAGATACAAGACGTGTCTGTATAGACATAACATCAAAGGGAGATAACAGGAAGTTGGTCTGTGCTTACTTGGGGCACAGTGCAGTTTACCCACAGATTTGAACTTGTTGCTTTCTAAAGAACTGTTTTCATTTTTCAAAAAACTTTTCTTTGTGTGGAATAAAACTTCCAAAACTGTTTTCCCATCCTGATGATCAGAAGAGTGTTTGAGGGTCTCAGAGACCCTTCAGAACAACATTAAGTGTTAATGACCTCTTTTAGCTGTTTAGTGATTACAATCATGTGATTTCCAGGAAGTGCTGCAGCTGATGCATGCCCTCTCTCCCTGCGGACTATTTTCTGCTGCTACATGTTTCCTCTGTGTGTGTTTCTGCTGCTTCTTTGTCCTCACTGTAAACAGATGTACTGAGAGACTCCTGCACTGATGTTTCATAGGAAAGTCCAAACAGCCTCACTGGTTCTCCATGAAGAACAAAGATCTGCTCTCTGTGGCTCCAACACAACTTAAAGACAATCAAAGGTGGACAAAGTTCTTCAGAACAGCTGTGCAGGAGGTCATGACCTTTGACTTTATTCATTAGAACAAGTTTATTTCAATTAACTGACAGACAGAGTGAAAGGTTTTCTCTACAGGTTCATTTCCTCTTACTTTAATTCGTCTGTCACTTTGCAATTGTGGTCGACTGTGGGTTTTGCTAAGCAGATGTCTGCAAAACAGGAAGTCAAAGCAAAACGATAGACAGGTTAGTTCAGCTGGTTGTACACAGTCGAGTTCACCCACGCAGTATTTTAATTTACTATTTTTTCTAATTGCTTGTGTTGAATAAACCTTCAGTAGGTTCCTTTTGACCTACAGAGAAAGCAGATGGATTATACCAACCTCACATTTTTTATCTTTATATGGATTTTTGTTGCATCCTGATTATCAGAAGAGAGTTTAAGGATTTAACAGATCTCCATACAACAACAGTAAGTGTTTGCTGTGTTTTTCTAAAATCATTTTCAGTCTTTTAGGTAAAAAGTTTCAGTTGTCATGGTTACAGTTTGGTTAACATCCACCCACAAAAATGTTTGAACAGAAAAACTGTTTCAAAACTGAGCGAGACTTCATTTAAAATGTCATTTCCTTTCTAGCGGACGTTAAACCTGTAAATCCTGAACCATGAAATCATTGCTCGATAATTTTATTGGTCGACGTCAGTTCAACGTCACTTCCGTACGAGACGTTACACCGTTGAAGTGTGGAGTTAGACCGAGCGGCTGAACGACAGATCTGTTCTAACAGTCAGTGACTTTCAGCTTTATTTTAAACCTTAAATTTAAACTTGTGTCGTCAGATTTAAACTCAGGTTCAGTTATTCGGTGAAAATACCGACAGACTCAGACATTTAGGACAAACTAAGAGTCAGATCAGCAGCAGCAGAGACACGGAAATGTCTGCTGTAACTGCGTCACTCTGCTCCACGTTGCTGATGTTCGATGAGGCTTCATGTTTGTCTCTGCGGGTGAGATTTAACTGTTATAAAACAAACTGAGTGTCACTCTGGTTAAATTATTATTAATAATTCTCAAAGAATTGTTTTTATATTGATTTAGTTTGTCTGTGTGTGTGAAGGAGACGCGAGGCTGGGTGGGTCTGTGTGGACGTCCGTGTCTGTGTGACAGAGACAAAGAAATCTAATGTGTGTTTTATTTTCTTTCAGGTTTTCCACCCTGGTGACCACAGAGGCCTTCGAGGGTTCCAGACGTCCTTCAGAACAACAGTAAGTGTTTTCTTTCTTTTTCTAAAACTCACGTTTAGTCTTTTAAGCTAAAAGAAAAGCTAAAAAAAATCAGTTTGAAGGTTTCACTTTACAATTCACCTCCATAGAAAAGGAGGAAACTTAGCAGAAAACCTCAAATTCTAAAACTGATGAGTCTTTGTTCTTTAATCGGACAGCACTGGATGGAGTGGTGATTTACACAGGCTACTGGTTTTGTAAACTGGTGCAAGTTGCTGCTGGTTCTCAGGTTAGTCAGAGTTGTGTCGCGGTGTTGTTTGATAAGCTGCTCGGAGCTGAAGCCTAAATCGCAGCAGGAAGAGGTGCAGCAGGATGTGAGCTCGAAACTTGCTGTGGGAAACAAACTCGGTGCAGAGACAAAACAAACTTCTGCTTCAAAGACAAAAACGGTTCATACATGACGACTGACACATGAAGCAGGTTCAGATTTTTCCTGCGAGGATGGTTCAAGAACAGAAAGAATAAAACTTTCTTTCGACTTCACCTCTTCTGGTGTGACGCGCTTGTTTCTACTCGACCCCGCAGTGCAGCGTACCAATCGTCACAACGTCACAACTTCCTTAAAACAAACGTTCCTGATCCAATTGCTTTCTTTCAGCCTACATTTTAATCCCAGGACAGACTGAGACATTTAGAACAAACTAAGAGTCAGAACACCGGAAATGTCCGCTGTAATTACGTCATTCACTTTGATGTTTGCCGTGTTCGTCTCTGCAGGTGAGATTTAACTTTGACATAAAACAGGAAGTAATGGCTGCATATTAAATATATTTCCCTGAGAGCAATTTTCATACTATTCATATTATCAGCACGCTTCACTGTATAAGTGTTTATACAAAACACAGCTACTGTCATGCACAGTTATACTGTTATGAATAATAAGGGTCAAATTTGGAGGTTTAGGTGGAGGAAGCTGAAGTTCAGGTGTAGCTGTGCAGTGTGGGGAAAGAGTGCCCTCCAAAAGAGTCCCATAATAACCAGTGTTGTGAGCTCCAGTAGATTTGTTTTCTTTGTGTTCAGGCTGTGATCAGGCTGCTGCTTCTGATGCTTTTCTGCTCTTTGTGGATTAAAGCAGCTACAATCTACAACATATAAGCAGGAGTGACAAATAATCCTAAAGAACATCATCTGCTTGAACTGGTGACTCTAACATCCTTCTAGAAACAAGTCCTGCATTTGGGCACTTATTATGAAGCATGACCTAAACTGAGAAACCATCCACCACTGTCAAATCCAAATGAGGATGTTGTCCCAGCTCATCAAATGTTTAAATTAAAAGTGATGTGTTGGTGTGTTTTTGTTTGTTTGGCTGCTGTAGAAGTGAACCGTTGTAATTTGACCTTTAACCTTTCTCCTGTGTTGTTTCCTCTTTCAGACCAGAAAACCATCACAGCTGAGTGTGGACAGGACGTGACTCTGACATGTCGAGCTCCAAACAGCATCAACAAGATCATAGTTGTAGAGTGGAGCCGAGCTGACCTGGAGCCACAACATGTTCTTTTGCAGCAGAATGGGCAGTTCGATCTAGAAAACCAGCATCCATCTTTTAAGAACAGAGTGGATCTGCAGGACAGACAGATGAAGGATGGAGACGCGTCTCTGATTCTGAAGGATGTGATGATTAATGACACTGGAACATACGACTGTCGTGTTCAGAGACAGAGAGAAAGTTTAAGTCTCATCACCAGTGTCTACCTGCATGCTCATCCTCCAGGTGAGTGAGTAGAGTTCAGTGTGTTTGTGATCAGAGGTGAAGCTGCTTCCTGGTTGCTGTTTACTGATTATAAGTTGGAAGTGATAATGTTGTTATCGCAGCTGGATATGATAGCCAGCTCTGCATCCTGCTTTTATTTTCTCTCCCTGTGCCGTCTGTTCCCAAACTCACCCACACAGCACATGGTGCTTTTACAATCTCGGGTAGGATACTGTCCGTCCAAAGTCCAAGTTCCGGTGGTGGGCAATTTCTATTAGTTCCTAACAACTGAAAGTGATCAGTGTGTTGCAGGAAAATGTAAGAAAAAGGTACCAAATATACAAAAAAGGTGCGCAGTAGTTGGGAGTTCTGTGCCACTGCATACTACCATACAAACTGCCATCTTGTCCCACTAGTTTGCTTACAGAGCAAGTAGGTCCACGGAGGATGCCGGCATCAACACCTTTCACAGAGCACTGATCCATATGGAGATCAGGAAGAGTTATGTTAGGATTCAGATCCCCTCTGCCACCTGCTCTTTGATCACAGACTTCCTAAGCATCCTCAGTCAGTCTGACCGACCATCTGTAGGAGGATCACACTCCTCAGCCTGTGTCATTTTTATCTTGAAAGGTGCTATACAAATAAACTTTTATTTACTTATTACTGAGGTGTTTCAGGCAACTGACTAGGATGCCTTGTGGGGGCCTCCTGGGTGAGGTGTTCTGGGCATGTCCCACAGGGAGGACGCCCCAGGGTAGAAATAGGACACGCTGGCGAGATAATATCCATCAGCTGGCGTGGGAATGCATTGGTGCTCTTCTGGAAAGGCTGGAGGAGGTGGCTGGGTCGGGGCTTTTCTGCTTAAGCTGCTGCCCCCGCACCCCAGCCCAGGATAAGTGGAAGAAAATGGATGGATTCTTGGAATCTGTCACCACCTTCAGGTTTCTGGGCACCCATAACTCCACTGATCTCACCTGGACACCAACTCCCAAGGCCCAGCAGCAACTGCACTTGCTCTTTGTCCTGAGAAAGAATAACCTGGACCAGAAGCTGCTGCTGGCCTTCTGCTGCTCCTCAGTGGAGAGTGTGTTCTCCTGCTGCCTGGGTGTTTGCTACACAGGGCCACAACTGAGAACAAGGCTGCACTGAGGGTAATTACCACCAGTGTTGGTCAAGTTACTTGAAAAAAGTAATCAGTAACTAATTACTTCCCAAAAAAGTAATCCCATTACTTTACCAATTACTTATTTTCAAAAGTAATTAATTACTTAGTTACTTAGTTACTTTTAAAAACACGATTTACAACCTGAAGAGGTGATAAAGTGATAGATCTTTCAGCCCAATTCTACTTTTTCTGCATAATCCATCATACAAAATGTAATCAAATGGAAAAGTCTCTTTTTAAAACTTGTTTTATTAGTTTTAATCTTTTAATTTTATGCATCAAGCAAAATTAAATTATATGCAACATTCTCTGACTGGAAGAAATTTGTTTAATATTTAAACCTATTTTCTGCACATTCCAGCACATAAAATAAAATATTTTTTGTGTTTACACTCAGTCTTTCAAATAGATGCAAGTAAAACACAGCAGAAAATAAATAAAGTCAAAGACTCAGCAGTCCTGTTGCTCTATTTTCACCTGTAAAGCAGGACTGCGGTAGGCGGAGGTTTACCCTGGTGCAGGTGTGCCGCGGTCAGTTGAAGAATCCGCGAGTTTCTCTGTGAATTTCCCATTACGTCGTTGCGCACTCGGTGCTTGCTTGGAAGTTTAGGGTTTTTTTCACTGTAAAAAGAAGTTTTCTTCCCACGCACGATGGACACTAATGTTTTTGTCACTTTTTATGGAATCAAACTCAAAGTAAGGTCAGTACTTCCACGCTTTAAACGCTGCACGCTCATACTCTCCCGCTCTCGATATATGATCCATTGTTGATCTGCACACAGCTGTTGTCACTAATGGCGCACTCGCTTACGTCACTGTCATGAGACATTCTCTCAAAAAATCACGGTTGTAGTAACGCAGTAACGCAGCGTTCCCACGGGAAAGTAACGGTAATCTGCGTTACTGCCCATCTCTGATTACCACTGCCCAAATCATTGTCTGCCCTCTGCAACCCCTGGGGATCATCACTAGATCCTCCTGTCTCAGGAAGACCAGGACCACCACAGGTGACCCTTTGTTCCCCGCCCACCACCTGTTTGACCCACTGCCCTCTGGTTGACCCCTCAGGTCTATCAAGTCCCAAACCTCCAGACTCACTAACAGCTTCTTCCCCTCAGCTAGGGCTGCTCAATTAATCGAATTTTAATCATGATTACGATCTGGGCTTTCAACGATCATTAAAAATGACTGAGCCGATTATTAGCCCCTCCCTCATTTATCCACGACACCTAAAAGGTGAAGTAGGTAATGATGGTAGACAGCCATGCTATTTAACTTTGGCGTGCTGTAGATTATGTAAGTTTCACTAGAACTTTTTTGCGGTCCGTGGCGCAAAAAAGGTTGGAGACCGCTGATTAAGAGGACCCGAGGGAAGCTCGGAAAGCTAAGCAGAAGTTATTTGGAGAGGAGAGTGATTGCCGTTGGTTGAAAAGAGAGGTAAAAAAAAACTTCAGTGGTGTTGCACACTATTTTACAGTGGGGCAAAAAAGTATTTAGTCAGCCACCGATTGTGCAAGTTGCCCCACCAAAATGATGACAGAGGTCAGTAATTTGCACCAGAGGTACACTTCAACTGTGAGAGACAGAATGTGAAAAAAAAATCCATGAATTCACATGGTAGGATTTGTAAAGAATTTATTCGTAAATCAGGGTGGAAAATAAGTATGAAGTATAAGTATCCTACTTCCGGGTCTAAAGTAGTCTGCGTTTAATATGGCTTTTGTGCTGTTAACATGTTTAATGTTATGTATTTTCTTCTATTTGATCTCAAAAAGCTCCTAAAACAGTCAGTGATGACTGTTGACCTCCCTCGGCTTTTATTACCGCTAATCATTTATTTAAGCTCAGTTTTTAAAACCTTAGGATGTAACTACAGCACAGCCCATGCAGCAGTATATGAATGACTAACCTCGTATGGTAAATGGCCTGTATTTATATAGCGCTTTTCTAGTCCCTAAGGACCCCAAAGCGCTTTACATATCCAGTCATCCACCCATTCACACACACATTCACACACTGTGTGTGGGTAATGTGTATTGTGGATGGATTATCTCAGTTGTTCTCCTGGCTGAAGTTTGGTTCTTTTACAGCATCCTGCCATGCGATTACATTTGTTCCACTTTTATCGAGTGGAAAAAAAGTTAGCTTGTTTATATTATGCTAACATAGCTGTGTCGCTAGCGGTCACGTAGCACATCATTATATACCAGCTAGCCAAACTTCAGTAACCCTACAAACGTCACTGCTGTTTAGTTTTCTGTCTTCATTTATTTTGGAAGTGATAACAGAGCTGTACGTTTTAATTTGTTTCCAAAACCCTGCAGTCAGGACATGCTATATTGTATTTAGATAGAAGCTAGCGAGCTAACTCCCTGCTAACTTCTAACTCCGTTAAATGTCATAAATTCCGTTTTCATGGATGCCTGGATGTTAAACTCACTTGTTACACCTGGTAGAGCAGAACGCTGATCATTTTATTAAAGATGAAAGACTTTAGACAGTTTTTCAACTCTCAGTAATGCCATAGTGATCGTTTGATATATGGACCTGCAGCGGAGTTTAGACCCAGACACGGCTAGTGACGTCAGACTGAACAACCGGATACTGGTCATGTTTGACTTTTCTGAATAGTTTCTGGGATGCTTAGAACTCGAATTGCACTGCTGGAAATAGTTTATTTTGATGAACCTGCTGCTTTCTTTGCAAATTTGCATCATAGGATTGTTTTTCGTTTTTCCTGCAGTATATAAAAATTGGTGTATCTCCAAAATAAAACTATGAAGACACTCAAAATAAATTTCCTGTTGTTGTAAACTATGTTTTGCAACTTTTTTGTATTTAAAGCTTTGAGGGATAAACCTCTTAAATTTCTCAAAGTAGAAATATATGTAAAAAAAAAACAAAACAAAAACAATTTTCAATTTTTTTGTAGTTTATTGCACTTTTTTGCAATTAATAGTTACTATGGACTTAATGCATACATATTATTAAAATATGGGCTACAACAGTTGTATAGCAACTTGAAATGATCCCACAAATGGCACTACAGCATGTAAAAATATAATATAAGCTCTGGCGGACTTGGTTCTATGGTAGGTAGTAGGTCTTAAAGGGTTAAATAAATATCGTCAAATAATCGAGATCTCAATTTCAGTGAAAATAATCGTGATTATAATTTTTGCCATAATCGAGCAGCCCTACCCTCAGCCATTTGCACTGTTAACCAACACTGTCCCTCCACATCCCACTCTTGCAGACCCGTATCACCGATCTGTGCCATGGTCTGAGTACCTCCATCATCACTCAGGCAAACACACATGAACTCTATTCGGACAAAGTCTTTTCTTTGCACTACTTTAAAGCACTTTGCTGCAACTATGTTGTTCTCTAATATGTGCCTTTATCTTGTTGTTATAGATATTTCTCCCGTTTGCTATTTATTCCTGCTCTCAGCTATTTATATTTTATTCCAGCACATTTGGTGTGGAGCACGCACAATTTGGTTTTACGTGTTCAACGACTAAAAAGAGCTATTCTGTTCTGTTCTATTCCTGTTTGTTTTTTATGCTTGTTTTTTCTGAACACCTCCCATCTGTTTCTTACCTGCAGGTCAATCAGGATGGAAAGTCGGTGTGTCAGTGTCTGCTGTGCTTCTTGTTGTTGCTGTTGTTGGATTTTTGATCTACAGAAAACATAAACAACAGCAGAGGCAGCGTCCTGATGAACTGCAGCCTGTTTGAAATGTCTCAGAGTTTTTCTCCTGCTGCTGTTCAGACTCTGTGTTGTCAGTGAACATTGAGGTACAGACAGAGGATCTGATCATCCAGCAGACAGACATCACACACGCCCAGAGTTGGTTTGATGTTAAATCCCTCTGATTATCATCAAAGCTGTTCAGACTGTGTCAGTGTGTCTCTGTCTGTCAGACACTCTGTGAACTACAGAGACTCAAAAACTGTAAGGCAGAGATAAAGTCAGTACATAACAATAAGATATTAAATGAAATGATTCAGAGTTTTTATAAAATTTTATTTCAAACACATCTTATCTTGTCTGTTTGCCATGTCGATTGCACATCAGGTTCAGTTTGTTCTCCAGCTGTTTCCTTCTTACTTTGAGCCACAGTGAGTCTCACAGGATGAAGTAATGATATCAGTCATCACGCAAACATTTCAGAAAGCTGTGCTTTTTCCTTGTCCTCAGACACTTTGGTTTATTTACCTTAGAGGTGCAGATTTCTCTCTCACAACACCGCTCACACATCACTTCAGCCTGTGAAGTGATTTGTCTTATGTGGCAAATGTGTTTGTTCATTGTTTTACAAACAGTATTACTGAATGTTTTTCTTAATTCAGTCTTGATTCATTTGTTTTCTGTCTGTGGAGCTTTATTTACATTTGAAGTTTTCTGACTTGTTGAACCAGGTATATGGGCTCAAATTGTGGTCATAAATATTTTGTACTTGTAAATCAGGATTTGTATGTGTAAAAAGAATTTGTGTGTGTGTGTGTGTGTGTGTGTGTGTGTGTGTGTGTGTGTGTGTGTGTGTGTGTGTGTGTGTGTGTGTGTGTAAAAAAGATTTGTGTGTGGATTTAGTCAAAAAATACGTGTGAAACTCTTCACTCAAGTTTCAAGTTACAAGTACGAATATTGACCCTGTTTTTCTTCCTTTCATCTCATTGGCCAATGTCATGTCAATCACAAATTTAACTATCCAATCAAAGAACAGGTGGGTTTGGCTATTGAAGGGGTGCTTTATGGAGCTTCAGGTCCTAGAAGGGAATAAATGCCCTTATACATGCCAGCCCAGCGTTTCCCTTCATCACCACGAAGGAAAACAGTCTGTGGTGTCTAAGTTTGGTGATTTATGTGTCACAGGTTTACATGCTTAATACAGGGACCTCCAGAGCCTTTTCAACAGCGCTGTGGACCTAGGGTGGGGGGCGGGGCAGTATTGTGGAAATGACAGTCTTCACTATTGGGGATGGTTACAAAGCTTTCTTCGTTGTGAATTAGCATACATGTTTTTATTGAACATTTGAAGAACCAGCAAAAAAAACAAACTCTTGTAGTTCACATAAAGTCAGAGATAGAAAAGACAAGAAGCAGGTGCATCTAGTACAGGTAGAGCTGCTGAAAACACCCACAGAGCCCAGCAGCCAGCAACAAATTCTGGATCCTTGGCTTTTAGTTAGCAGTTAGCATTAGCAGCACATCCTGCGTCCGATGTGAAAGGACCTTTATGCTGCGCACTGTGACTCACAGCAATGGTCCCGGGTCAGCCCTGACTTTGTGTTAAACTAATCCTAAAGTAATAATGGTATTTCTAACCACTGATGTACCACAACTTTATCCTTTCAACAGCTGCTGAAAGTTAGGGGCCCTAACTGCTATCAGATATTTATATAGAGATCCTCCAGCTTCAAACTGTATCACCCTTCAAGGACCTGAAGCTCCATAAAGCGCCCCTCCGACAGCCAAACCCATCTGTTCTCTGATTGGATAGTTAAATTTGTGATTGACATTGGCCAATCAGATGAAAGGAAGAAAAACAGGGTCAAAATTTATACTTGTTACATGAAACTTGAGTGCAGAGTTTCACACGTATTTTTTGGCTAAGTCCACACACAAATTGTTTTTACCAATACAAATCCTGATTTACAAGCACAAAATATTTATGACCACAATTTGAGCCCATACAGGTGAAGCAGAGCTGATCTGACCTGGAATCAGTGCAAACAAACCACTGAGCAGGTCTGATCCAACCTCCTGCAGACTATGTGAACTACAGTGTTTGTTCATCTACATCTTCATCCAATGTTGTCAGGGAAACAAACAAACGTTTCCTGTTTTAGCATCTTAATCAACCAAAAAGTAATGTGACTTAGTTTTGTTAAAATTTCTGCTTTTGTTGTAAAGCAGTAAATTTGAAGTTTCATGGATAACAACAATAATTATACTTTAGCATTAAAAATATGTCTTAATCCACACATTAATAAAAGTTGCTGTTATGCTGCTAACCTGGGTCAAAGTGTATCCCGAGGTTTTAGGGTGTTTCAACCAAACAGTATCAAGTATGTGAGTTATGAGGATCCTTTTGTTACAACAAGCAAAGCTGTTTATTTGTTTTGAAATGTGCCCACACATTTGAAATGATTTGCACTGTTTTGCTTTTGAAGGAATGATGTATGAAACTCCATTTTTGTTTGTGGAATGTTTTGGTTTATATGATTTTTCTTGTGAATTTGTCGATTATTGAGTGAATGGATTAATTGCTAAGTGCTAGAAAAGTGTTACAGTTATGCAAGACTCTGAAAATAGAGCTACGCAGCACTCTTTACAGCAAGCTGAATGCATCGCTCTCTCTTTCCCTCTAATCTCTTCCTCTCAGGTCTTGTGGTCCCTGTGCTATCTGTCATCCAAAGCACAGTTAGACTCGTGGACACTGTGTAACTGCTTTCTATGAGAGTGTCACATCTGTTCCCAGGATAACTTTGTAAGAAGCGCATAAATAAAACTCAGCTGTCTTTCACTGTGAATGCTTTTGCTTCCTTGCAAGTAAATAAATGCGTTGAAGCTCATTACTCTGAGTGTCTCACTTTATAAGAGAATTCTTCTAACAGTACCTTAATAACTTTGGTCTCACTGTTTATCCATTTTATTATACTTTCACAGAACTGGCTCTTGAGCCTGTGGGCTGCTTGCTGTCTGTAGCATCATCATGACACCTGTCCAGACTGTGTTAGTGTCACTCTGGGAGCTGCTGTGTCTGTTCATCGGCAGGATTTTCATGAAATTAGTTTAAAGGAAGAACAAAACTGTTGTTCATGAAGTTCAGTGTTCTCACTGATTCATGATATCCTAATCAGTGAGTGCGTTTGTTACAGAATAATTACAGATACTGAGCCAACTGACAACAGAAACACTTTATGTGATGATGAACGTATAAAATACTATGAATTATAGCTCAGCAGTACTCTATGTGATACTCATTGAGTTACAGCAGACAAATGGATCATGAACACTGAGTGTTAGAGTGCAGTATCATAAAACCAAACACACAAATGTGTTAAATGTAGCTGCAGAGTCAGACGTTTCCTTTCTTGCATCAATGAAACTTTATTTGAGTCTTCAATCCCCCCTCTTTTGTTTATCCTTGTCGTCGTTGCATACTTTGAATGCAATTACCTAATACTTAAGATTTGCATATACTGGCACTCAATGTTTTTAATCATTATTCAGCTGATTAATGTGGCTTTAAACGTTTTTGGACCTGTTTAACCAGCTGATCTTGATGCTATGTGATGTAGAATCAGTCCAAAGCAACTTATGGACAGGCAGGAAGATAAGTAACAAAACATTCAAATAACTTTGAGACTGTCCCCGTGGGATGAGAATTAGAGTGTGAGAGTGCTAACTTATCAGCTAATGGTGATTATCTTTGTGTGTCATCCTCCACCCACAGACTGTACATAGACTCTGTACAAGACAGATAAACTCCATTTCTCAGTTTGTATGTCAGCACCTTTTTTTTACTACACAAAATCTCCCAAAATCTCCTTCTAACTAAAAATGGGAAATATATGCATGCTGTATTTCATGAGCATCACTTTGATCTGTATTGTATGTCTTAAACTATGTAAAAAAAAATTCTGTATGAAAACATTTGCTGGGTTGACAGCTTTTGCAAGAGCAAGAGACTCTGGAAACCTAAAACTTGGCTGGTCTGTGGATCAGCAAAGTACAGACTGTAATCAAACTGTACTTTTACTGCTGACTGTGTTTATGAAATATATTCATTGTCTCTAGAATAAACAGCTTATAGTAGAAATATTACAGCCTGATCAGAAAGTAGAATGAACTCTGCAGTCAAAGAGTCCAGATCTCATTGTAACTCTGACTATATTTGAAATAAAGTAAACAACCATTTTATTATGAACAGTACATGCACAGCATGCCAAAAGAAACTCTGAAAGCATCACTGGTGATCTGCTTGTATCTGTGTTGGTATTCAAAGTGCAACATCTCCCTCTAGTGGCCAAATATAAACATGTGTGAGGATGGTGTTCATGTAAAATGTGAATCACAGTGTTCCAGTCAGTCATCAGTGTGTCTCTGCACAGCTGTAATTAAAATGTGTTCAGAGGGCCTCAGTGTCTGAATGTTCCAGTTCAGCTCCATAACAGCAGCGTCCCTGGTTTGATTCCTGTGTTTCAGCTCATATCTGCCTCTCTCACTGAGGGGGACGTAACTACATGGACATGGATTTGTTCATCAACCAAACTACAGATCACTGAGAGCAGAGGACATCTGATTTATTCAATGAAGTTGAATATGATGCTTTTGGGCATCATAGACATGAATTGTAATCTCACTGGTCAAATTTAGATTATGTCACAGCAGTGCACAACTTAAACTTTTTTACATGTCCAAGTCCTCGTACATAAGTTTAAAAGAACAGAATTGTGATTCATTCTTTTTTGTTTCTGAAATAAAATTGAAGTGTTACAGTGTACCTTTAGATATATGTTTACATTATTTTATAACTTCTATTCTTAAAAAAGGAAAAAAGTCAGTTACCCACCTCTGTGTTTGAACCAATAGAAAGCTGGTGCTCAGAGGAAGAGGGCGGGCTTTACTTGGTGTCAGTGAGAGAAATGAAAAGAAGCTCAAATGAGTGAGAAGGACGATGAAGGAAACATCTGTGCTGTGTCTGCTCTGTAAGTAGAATCTCTGTGTTTGTTTGAATTCTTGTACTTTGACTGTCTGCTCTCCTGATAACTGATGATGGAGGAGAAGACATGAAAAACAAATCAGGCTGAATTCAAGTTCAAACACCACGAGGACCAACTGCAGGTCTGAACTGACTCTTTATCTTTGCTCAGGAGTCGAGGAAACACTGTAACTTAGCAGCGTCATTAATATCAAGTTAGTGGTGAAAAAAACAACTTATATGTGTTAAGAAATGTTAAAAAACACAGAATGCAAAGCATTAGCAGATATGTTTAATAGAGCACACATAGAGGTTTTCTGCGGTTTGTGTGGAGTTGTTCTTTATGTTCAGCTCAAATCAACCTGAGTGTCATTTCTCTTTAGTTCTGATCTCACTGCTGAGCTGCACAACAAACCAAGGTCAGTAAAAAACATGAAACAACCTTTTATGAAGCACTGACATTGCAGACCAAAATTGTGCACATCACTATCCCCTTTGCTGTCACTGGGTCATGCTCTTGGTGCATGCATGCCTAATGGCACAACTCATTCAGCCAAACAGGGTGTGAGTGTGGTAATGTTGCTGACATGGGCATCCTGTGGCTGAGAGAACAGAGCCGCCGACTGAAGTCGGAATGACTTTTTTCAGTCACTGGAGAATTTGAATGTGATTAAGCAGGTCAAGAAAGGTCACTAGAAATGGCATCATACAGCACTTGACCTCACCCCCAGTGCTATCCCAGTCTGTTTTATTAAGGACATCAGCGGGTGCTAGTCTCCCTTTACTTTA